TATATTCCCTGTAAATTGTGCTTGACATGCTCAATTTGATCGAAGAAAGAAATATTGTTGTACCCTTGAGTGGCTCCACTTCATGTTCCCATAGTGCCTGGGCGGCGACATTTCCATACTTCAAACAATATTGCCCGGCACTGGCCTCACATTCCGTATTGATTGGGCGATATCGCTCCCACTCCAGATCCTCCATAATAAGGATTCAGCAAGCCTGTTGCCATCCTGTAAGCTGATGGGTGGAACGGTGACTTTCTTGACTTTTCCACCTAAGATTGGCTAGCACAAAGACAGGAATATCATTAGAGTGTGCTATCCAATACGTCTGTGATGATAGAGCAAATGCATTTTTTATGGATTCTGGGTTGATAGACGGTGGTTCCTAACTTTCTGTTTGCAAGAAACGGTGCCATTGTGTTCGTATCCACTAGATCATTAACTTAGCTGAATCTAAATGGCAACAAGGGCTATATCTTACACTTCACTACAACCCAACAGAAGACTTACAAACTGCCGTCTGCAGACATTGCCTTCTTGGCCCCTAGTGAGCCAACATTATGACGACTGACCTGTTATTTCGCCTACCTGTTACGTAGCCTTGCCGATGAAGCAATTCAGTAAACCGCTGAGCTTTTGTTGCCATGCTTTCAAGTTTCGTCCGTAGTGATAAACATGGTGAGCAATCTAAGTGCATCTGAGTCGATTTTTCTACAAAGTGGTTCGACAATTGCTTTGCCAAGTGCGGATCTACCGAATAATATCCGGAGTCGCTGGCCGGGCCCGGCCCCGCCGGCGGCATCTCATGCACCACCTCCATCGACTGACTTTCTCCTCATGCGTACAGTGCGCAACTTCACGTCGAGGCATGAGAAGCACTTATCAATTGAGTGCTGACCTCTTCGCTAAGTCTGCATTTCGTTTTCGCGGACCGTACCATCGAGGAAAGGTGTTAAGCGCGTCTGCCTCTGCACCGTTCGTGTTTTGTGCTCATATATAATAACCCCTCCAAACGAAAATACCTTGTACACTCATTGCAGCCGGATACCACACTGCATTGATTGTATCATCAAAACATATCACTGATACTGGTTGTTGGTCGGTTTGTGCCGAGTTCTGCCAGACATGAGCGCAATTTCGCTCCCATCTTCAGCCCTGATATTTGGTTATAACTTCTTCCCAACAGCTTTGAAGTTTTCCGTCGAATCGCGGACTTGAGATTTCATTCGGCGCCCTCACCACCTCAACCTACACACTGAACTTGATAATTACCACTCCACCATCTACATTGAACTTCAAGCACTGCTCCTTCCGTTATCCCTCTCTACAATAATTTAAAGGTTAGATCTGCAGTACTCTCATAATCACGCCTATTTCGCTAGTCGCCCGATAGCCGAGTCTCCAACGCGAGTTCTTGGAACATAGATGTGGAGGTTTAACGCTTCCAATCAAAC